TGCTCACACCTCCGTACCGGAGCATCTGGGCTTCTCCTCTGAACATGTCCGAACCATCTAAGCCTCGCTTCCCGCATCTTGTCATCAATGGGAGCCGCATGCACCTTCTCCCGAATATCATCATTCCTAATCTTATCTATCTTAGTGTGCCCGTACAATATTACAGATATGGAAGGAAAATATTTATATTTGTAGCACACAGTTCCATTAAATTAGGAATATTAATTACTAATACCTAAACATAAGCAATTTGAATGGAAAGTCAATAATTCTTTGTACAAAAATCATGCCTTTGTTCTCTTTATCTATTAGCTTTCCTTCTTTTTCTTCATCTTCTTAATTTTATTTTCTGCCGAAGCTAATATATTTTCTAAATTTATTTAATTCGTTTTCTTTTTAATTATCTTTCTTAAGTTTTTCTCTTCCTTCGTTCTTCCTTTCTTAACATAGAGATCTTACTTTGATAATAATATATATTAATATATACAAAACTGTAACGATCCGGCCGGTCATTTTGAGAATTTAAGTCCCGTCCGGCGGCATAAGGCCCTGAGCAGCTTCATATTATGTGTATTGACTTGCGTGCGTGGATGAATTCAGTTGCCGGATGATTCAGAGTGATTTGGGACACTTAGTCCCTAAAATGGAAGCTTAAGTCTTAGGATTTTAACCGTAGTCGAAACTATGTGAAGACGACTCCGAAATGGAGTTCTGTCAGTTCCATTAGCTCCGTTGGGTGATTTTGGACTTAGGAGCGTGTCCGGAGTATAAATCTGAGGTCTGTAGCTAATTTAGGCTTGAAATGGCGAAAGTCAAATTTTTGGAGATTTGGACCGGAAGTGGACTTTTTGATATCGGGGTCGGAATGCGATTCGGAGAGTTGGAACATCTCCGTTATGTTATTTGGGACTTGCCTGCAAAATTTGACGTCATTCCGGGTTGATTTGATAGGTTTCAGCACGAGTTTTAGAAGTTGAAAGATTTAAAATTTATAAGTTCGATTCATGGTGCGATTCGTGGTTTCGACGTTGTTTGATGTGACTTTAAGACTCGACTAAGTTCGTATGGTGTATTAGGATTGGTTGGTATGTTTGGTTGAGGTCCCGGGGGCCTCGGGTGAGTTTTGGGTGCTTAACGGATTAAAAGTTTTATTTGTGTTACTGCTTAGTCTTCAGGCTTCTGGTATTTTTGCACCTGCGAAGAAGAGACCGCAGGTGCGAGAGCGCACGTGCGGAAAGGCAAGCGCAAAAGCGAAAAAATGGAGGAGTGCCAGGGGTCGCAGGTGCGAGAAAAATTCCGCATCTGCGACACCCGCAGATGCGGATGTTGGCACGCAGAAGCGAGAGGAAGCGCAAGTGCGGCTTGGACGTGCGCACCTGCGGTCGCGCAGATGCGGCTAATTATGCACAGGTGCGGTCACGCTTCGGCAGAAAAGAGAAATCCGAGGGTTTGGTTTTATTCTTCGTTTTTGGACTTGAGAGCTCAGAATTTGGCGATATTTCGAGGGATTTTCATAGGAAAACTTTGGGGTAATGATTCCTAACTCATTTTTGGTTGTATTCCATTAATCTATAGTTGTTTTCTCCATTTAGTTTCGGATTTTTGGGGTTGAAATTGGGAAAAATTGGAAGAACTTCTTCAATGAAGATTTCGAGTTTTGAAAGGGGATTTGTGGTCAGATTTGAATAATTCTTATATGGTTGGACTCGTGAGTGAATGAGTGTTCATATTTTGTGATTTTTACCCGATTCCGAGAAGTGGGCCCCATGGGAAATGTTGAGTTAATTTTAGAATTTTCGTTAAAATGTTGATTTCTTTAATTAGATGAGTCTATTATTGTTGTAATTATGATATGTAATTTCTTTTGGCTAGATTTGGGCCATCCAGAGCCGGATTTTCATGGAAAGTGCATTCTTACGGATTTATTGAGCTTGACTCGAAGTAAGTATCTTGCCTAACCTTGTGTGGGGGAACTACCCCTTAGGATTTGAGTTATCTATGTTGATTGTAGTCTATGTACGCGAGGTGACGAGTGCGTGCTCGAATCTATTTGTGGAAAGTTGGCCTTTTAGGGTTCTTATGTCCTTATATTCACTGTGTATGATGTTGTTTTTGANTTAATTATTTAGTCTTAATTGGAGTTATGATTATCTTCCGCTGCTTATCCTTATTTGAATTGTTGAATTTTCCCCGTAATTGCTCAATCTCAAAAGAAGTTTAGATAACCTATATCTTAGTTGACTTGCCATTATTTGGAACTATTTGACTCGTGTTGGCTTCTTATTGTTGATTTGAATATTGTGGAATCGTTGCTACATTTTTGTTTTGTTTTCCCTTGTTAAGCTGTTCTCCTTGTGCCTAACATTCTTTACTGTGGTTATTTCTTATGAATGAGTTATACCGTTCTTGTGATTTAAATTCTTGAGTTGATTTTCTCGCCGTACTTTGCATTTCTGTCATTGTTTCTTTTGTACTCGTTGTGGTGATTTATGATGTTTCTGTCGTGTTATAGTTGTTTGCGCTGCATATTTAAATTGGGACTATAGAAGTATTCCGGGAGATCCTCCAGCACTGCATATTTAAATTGGGACTACGGATGTATTCTGGGAGATCCCCCTGTCATGCATATTTACTTTGGGACTCCAGACGTATTCCGGGAGATCCTCCTGCACTGCATATTTAAATTGGGACTACAGACGTATTTCGGGAGATCCCCCAGCACTGCATATTTTAATTGGGACTACAGACGTATTCTGGGAGATCCCCCTGTCTTGCATATTTACTTTGGGACTATGGACGTATTTCGGGAGATCCCCCAACACTGCATATTTATTTTGGGATTACGGGACGATATTCCGGTAGATTTCCCACTGTGGTTATATCTGTGTTCGGGGATACAAATCTTCTATGCTCAGGTGTCATAGGGTGACTTATACTCGAAGGATATGATTTGAAAAATTTATATTTGAAAAGTATTTATCTCGAAGGAACTATATTTGAAGATATTTATTTGAAAGGGTTATACTTGAAAAGTATTTATCTTGAAAGAACTATGTTTGAAGGCTAATTATTTGAAAAGTTTATATCTGAAAAGTATTTATCTCGAAGGAACTATATTTGAAGATATTTATTTGAAAGGGTTATACTTGAAAAGTATTTATCTTGAAAGAACTATGTTTGAAGGCTAATTATTTGAAAAGTTTATATCTGAAAAGTATTTATCTCGAAGGAACTATATTTGAAGATATTTATTTGAAAGGGTTATACTTGAAAAGTATTTATCTTGAAAGAATTATGTTTAAAGGCTAATTATTTGAAAAGTTTATATTTGAAAGGTTATATCTTGAAGGAACTATGTATGAAGGAAGTATATTCCAAAAGTAATTTCTTATTGGAAAGGATTATATTCTAAAGACCTC